AGGTAAATTTGTAATAACTCTTAAAAGCAACATGAAAAAGAAAAACACGGAAAAATGTAAGGATATAAAACCCATTATTGATATAGGATTATGAGTCTCCTTAATCGGTGAAAGTATTGCAAAATACATTAAAAGGGTTTGGTAAATCATTATAGTAATTCATAATATTCATTTTCATCCTTTAATTTATTTGTTTTTTAATCTTAATCTTTTATGCCTAATTTCATGATTAATTTATAAAAATTTATGAAAGAAAACAAGCTTCTTCCACCACTAGGCCAAACCCTTGAATGCATATAAAACCCATTATTGATATAGGATTACGAGTCTCCTTAATCGGTGAAAGTATTGCAAAATACATTAAAAGGGTTTGGTAAATCATTATAGTAATTCATAATATTCATTTTCATCCTTTAATTTATTTGTTTTTTAATCTTAATCTTTTATGCCTAATTTCATGATTAATTTATAAAAATTTATTATAGAAAAAAATTAAACCATGAAGAAATTTCATGATCAGTCTCTATGTTCGATTGAAAAGATTCTCTTTAGCCCACATAGTTTCTTTTTTCTTAATTGACAGCCCCTTTCGTTTTTACAATTATAATTTTCATCCATTTCTTAGCGTTTTAGTACCTGGGCTTGAATAAAAAAGTTACTTGAAAACAAACGAATGAAAGGTAAAGTTGGTGAATAATTTTATATACAAAACTTATTATTTTTTGTGTTGATAAATTTTATTCGACATGAAAATTTTAATAGTGGTAGTTTTTTTTTCTAAACATGCCCAAAAAATAGATCGGACTCCAGTTTTATATTTTTCATATGATTGATTTTATTTTTTGAGTGATTTTAAAATATTTTAAGGTTGATATATGATTTATAAAGAATTTTAGATGTTTTTAGATGAATATAGGTTAAAAAATAAAATTTTAAACTTTTCCCTGATTTTTCAACCGCTCGTAGTTATTGAATTCTGGGTTGTCACTTGTTTGATAAAAAAGACCCAAGAGAGGACAATGCTTTGTTCACTCCTAAGAAAGAAAAAAAAAAGATTACGTGCGAGCCTAGGCTTCCAGACCTTGACACGCTTAAGTGTTTTTTATTAAGGCCAAACAAGTAGTCCTAACCCATTAGTGCTTGCTTTTTTCTGTCATTTGTTTTTTATTTATATTTTTTTATTTTATTTTTTAATATTAAAATTTTATTGATTTATTTAGCTTCATCTTTCAATAAAATTTTATAATTTATTTTAATTTAATTAATATAAATCATATAAATATTTCATGTTGATTCTTATTTTTCTAAATATTTATTTTATTATCATATAATAAAATAAAAGATTGTTAAAAAAATTATTAAAATCATTAAAATTTATAATATAAGTTGTGGATTTGCATGTTAAACTGCAAAATCTAAATTGATTTAATGTGCTATTTTTTAATATTATATATATATACTATTATTTTAATTTTTTTTATATAAAATTAAATCATATTTTTATTAATTATTTAGTTATTTTTAAACTTATAAAGTTATTCGAGTCACGACACGATTGAAGTTGAAAAATTTCAAGGTTAATTTATTAAATTAAATTTAATAATTTTATCAAATATTTTTGTATAATCTAAATATTTTTCCTTCAAAATTTTTTTGGTCGGACCCGCAGTGGGGCAATTATCTTGTTTGGTGACTAAAACCAAAATGAGGGAACCGATCACATGCAGATCACGTGTACATAAACCGTCCAAGAAGGCAGATATACACAACTCAGCCGACAGGTCATATATGCAAGCATATGTGAGGCACGTGAAAGGTGCATTCGGTACTCTACTTTTTACTATCCTCACGTGACATGTTGGTTAGCTGGTGCTGTGAGAGTATTATTATTATTATTATTATATCTTAATTTTATTAAAATGGATTGTAATCCAAAAGCCGGAGGAGGACGCTGCTCTATTCTATCATTTTATTTGTTTCACCTGCAGAATCAACCTTGATTTCCACCGAATATCTGCCCCATTTCCATCAACCTGAATTTCCACATCTCTTATAAGCCCTAACCTGCTGTTTTATTGAAAATATTCTCCATTATTGTATTGCATTATGCCATTTTGTTTGGCATCTATCTTGTAGTTTTACCTCTAGTTTGAACTGGCAGAAGTACACCTGCTTGCTTGCCGTGCCATGTAAAGTGGGAGAAAGATACCTAACCCTGCCAAAAAAAATTGAAAATGCATGGCAGGACTTGTGCGGACTGAACTGGAGAAGTGCTCAGAAGCTGTATGTGTAAGACAGAGATTGTCCTGGAAGACAACAAGCACATGCCTTTTTGACCCTCCATGCCCTGATCTACGTGTGCCTTAAATTATTGAAGGTTCAAAAATAATTAAAGGACTGTCCCCTCCATCCCTTCCTAACTCCTACATCTACTAGAAAAATATATGGTAGGTGCAAAGCACAAGAAAGAATCAGCTGATTAACCTGCCTTGCTATGAAGAAGCCTGACATGTACAGGCAAAACAAAGCAGACCCGGATGGCCAGATCCAGAGAAGATTACATATCCAAGACACCATAAAATTGAATACACTTGGTTTTCTGGTTTTTGCAGCTTGTCCCACATGCAATACTACTACCTATATGTTATTTCCACAGATGGAGGCGACTGCCCCTTGACATTATTGAAGTTAAGGGCATAGTTCATCGAAAAGCATTAAGAGAAAGAAGACGAGCCAATGTCCTATCCCAAATAGCGATATAACAAATTATGGCATTCTACTGCATCTTTAATTTCGGCTCATTGAAAAACAAAATCGCCATCGGCTATTGACTCTTGACCCGTTAGCTACGAAGATTTAAACTACACGTTACGAACCAGGGGCATTAATATATGGAGTAGACAAGCTCTCATGTAAGTACCAATACCATGGACTCTCCCTCTGCTTCTTACTGTGGTTGCTTTGTAGTTTGAATACGAGTAATTCATGCCATGAATAAAAGAAAGTGCCAAATTGAGCTACAAAGACATGCCCTTTGATTGAGCTAAACAGACAGGCAATGAAGCCAAGAGGATAATCATCCAATTTTCAAATGCAATCTTATCATGGCTGATCAAATTGTTCTGCTACAAGTATATAACAAATTTCAAACGTTGTTCAGGGTTCAGGCTCTGAGCAGAGCTGCTATAAACTCTATATCTCCAGGGAAATGCTATTTGATTAAAGTGAGAAAGATTAAAGGAAAGATCAATTCCGCTTCTTTGCTGATAGCTCTCAATATACACTGACTGTCTGTTATAAGTTACTCATTGTAACATCACATTGAGATGGTTATCCATTCAAAGGAAGGGAAATTATGTGGCTTTGATGGGTACTGTTGTACCGAGTCATTTTACTCCCACAGCAGACAAGCCGCCATGGGCTGTCGTTGACAATTCTCATCCTTTTTCCTCATCCTTAGGCTGTCTTGGTAGCTGTCATTGAGAATTCTCATCCTTTCCCTCATGTTGAGTCACCATTGCCTCGTTCTGCTCAGGCTTTAGTACAACATTCTCTTCACAAACAAGAGAACTCATATTAGAACCATCTGTCAGATCAGTGGGTATCTGTGACTCCTCATCTGGCTCTCCTGGTTTGATATCTTTATGGTTATTGGGCTTCAATTCAACATTCTACTCATCACCTAGGGAAACCGTATTTGAATCACCTGTCATACCGGAAAGTTTATGTGGCTCGTTATTTGAGGCTCTACTGATGAGGTATCTTGGTGGTAGTTCAGAGTTTCAGCATCCCCGTGAACTTGAGTTTGAGAACTAGACAAAGGACGAGATGGGTTAGCACCACCCAGCCCTTTAGAAAGACAAACGTACTTGAAGACGAGTTATCTGTAATTATTTAGTAGGTCTTCTACATCATTGATTGTTAAATCGACAACGTGGGAAAAACAAGTATGGGTATTCTCGAAATACTTGACTTGCCAGATCCTCCTTCAAAAGCAAAGTTGCTCCTTTAGTCTCTATATCTGACAGTGATGAGATTTTTTTTCCATTGGCGCCTCATCTTTGGCATGTTGCACATCCTTACTTGTAGATGTCACTTCAGAAGATCTGGATCTCTGACTGAAGAGTCCCTTTCCTTCTTAGAGCTCAAAGCTCGATGTTTGGATTCCATAAGCTCTGCTTTGGAATTGTTTCCTGCATTTTGATTAGACAGACCATTCAAATCAGTTGAAAGGCCAGCAAGGTCTCGAGCAAGTTCCATGTTTCTTTAAAATTCAGAGTCCTCAATTGATACGGATTTTGCATCAATGTTTGAGATGAAAGATTCTGCAGAGAGCACTTTTGTAAGAAAATAGGCTGCTTCAACTAATTGGGATTGACGCCTGTGCCGCTGACAAACTTGAGTGCAGCTGGGGGGGGGGGGGGGGGGGGGGTGGTATTTTTGTTTT